AGTTCTCATTTCTTGACTCACTGGTGGCTTGGCCAGAGTGGGTCTGTATCCCATAGGCACTCATGGAATGCAAGCAGCTATCTGGCTGCAAATCTGGCAATCGGATTGGTGGTTGAAAGTAAAGTCAGAATTCTATGTATTTCCAGCATTTTCTGAGTGTACTCAGCTGTGTGGTGCACAGGAGTGGGCATGAGACTCCGCTTTCCACCACCAGGAAACCTGCAGTCTAGGGACAGCTGGGATGACACGGCTATCTGGGATTCAAGCGTGAAGGAAAGAAGCCATCTCTCCCAAGTATAAATAGTGGACAGTGGGGGCCCAGCAAGAGGGATCCTGTTTAGGAGAGGAAGGGCAGGAGAGGACCGCTTTTTAGAAGAGGTGGCATTATTGCCAGGTATGGACAGATGGATCAGGTGAGAAAAGAGGAGAGACGTTGCATGCTGAGGAAAGAGTGTAAAGTAAACAGTACATTTAGGAGATAAAAACAAGTCATACGAAGCCGAATGGAGGGGTATCCCTCCCTCCCTCCTTTCCTTCCTTCCCTGTTCCTTTCCTCTCTTCCTCTTAATTGCCCTCCATTCCTTTTTTATCCTCTACCAGACTATGAGGATATGTGCCGAACCAAACATTTAGCCCTCCCTGCTGAAGCTTAGAGGGGCAGCTCCCCTTTCATTAGGAGTGAACCCTGGGGAATTAACTCCAAGGAGCAGGGAATGACTCACAGCTTCAAGTTCAGCTAGAAAGCTCTTTCAGTAGCCTGGAAAAGACAGACTGGGAAGTTTCATCCGGAGAATTGTCATGGCACTGCAGAGGTGATGTGTATGCCATTACTTGTTATGAAAACTCTCAGTGGAATTATTACATGGTCTAGTATAAGTGGTAAAAGCATGAACCTAGAAGCCAAACTACCTGGGGTTGTATGTCAGCTCCAGTCCTGACTAGATATGAACCTTGAGCAAGTTGTTCAGCTTCTCTGCCTCAAGTTACTTGTCTGTAAAATGGGGATAATAATAGTAATTCCCTCATAGAGGAGTTTTAGGAATTAAATGACTTAATACATATATAATCTCTTAGAAAAATGCCTAGCATGTATCAGTCCTATATAAATATAAGCCTGATTTACTAAATCATAAAATTTAGTAAATTTTATTAAATTATTTCTTCTAGTACACTTAATGAGGGTGAACTTTCAAAAGAGGTGCCAGTTGGTCCCACTTTTGCCAGAAACAGTAGATGAAATTGTTTTGTAGAAGTAAACAGCTTTTCAGGAATATGAAAGAGTAACACATATTCAACAATTATGGAAAGAAAGACAGAAAGAAGAAGGAAAGAAAGAGAAAGAAGGAAAGAAAGAAAGAAAGAGAACAATAGCGACTATTTAGAGCCAATCTGGATATTGTTATATTACTTTCCTAGAAATAGGAAACAGACACGTGTACACATGAACACACACACCCACACACGAACACACACACTTAAATGAAGCACCCATGCACGTACGAACACACACACACGTGGACACACACACATACACACAAACACACACACTCTTATGTATCTCTTTAGAGGAGACAGTGTGTTTATCTATTGAAATATTTTGTTCAAAAGTTTCGAAAATAGTCTCATGCACTTAAATCCTGGCCTTTGGATTATTTCCAAAACTTTTGGATATAACATTGGGGTAGAGAGAGAAGTCTCACGAGACTTGTTTTCCACTTTTATCATTGAAGCAAATGGCCCATTAACACAACTCCTTCAGGCTGAGTCCATTAGATGATGCCCTCCCTCCAAGGGCAAGGACACTAGGTGAATGTTTCTGCTGGTTGATGGCAAAATTCTTTCTTCTAGTGGAAGAATGAGAGCAACCCTCCTTTTTGCACATAATGGTAGATATAAGAAAGCAACAAATATAGTGGGCAAAGAAAGAAATTACGAAGATAACAGCTGTCTTCAAAGAAAAATTCCTGTGTTTATAATTGAATTTAGTAATTTTGGTTTCAGTATTGGTGTGTCCTCATTAGCTATTCAAAAATGATGTTAATTTTAAGGTTCATCAGTATTTGAGGAACATCTGTTTACTTTTAAATACATTTACATATTTGCATTATTAGCAGAGTGATAGAAAACCCCTCAAAATTTCAGGGAGCTCACTATACATTTTGTATAATTTATCCTTTTTTAAAAAATAATCTTCAAAAATCCCAAATTACTCCTTATATTTATAACAAAAATAATTTCTATGATGATAGTGAATAGTTAAGCTTCCCAGTGTACTGTAATCTGGGATTGCTCTTTTTCCCCTTGCCCCCGGATGTAATCTTAAACACGCTCATTCCAAACTGTCAAGCATTTGAACTGTACACAAATGTAAATTCGCTGTCACCAAAAGGAGTGTGAAGCGTCCATGTTTCTTGCCTCTGGTGGCCTCTCCCTTCATTCACCCTCCTCACCTAGAAGCAGCCACACCTCGTGTGTCAGAAGCATGCTGTACAGAAAATGGAAGAGCCTGGCATCTCAGGGTGAGTGCATGGCTGCTTGATTTCCTGGGTCCCAGGAAACACGTCAGCCAGTGCATCCAACAATCACTTCCATCCTCCCAAATCCAAGCATTCAGTAGGGCCTAACACACTACGTGATGGTCTACAGCCACCACGTTGAATTATCATGCAAGTAGGCTTGGATCAATTAATTCGTAGGTGTAATTGAAGACAAATATAATTCATTATGCAGTTTTGAGCTATTCAAATTTAACTCCCCTAAGATTACATCGTAGAATTATTGGCAAGCAGAAAATAAGTATCAGTAAAGTCTCTTCCTGGGAATCCTCCTTACTCACCTTTGATTACCTAGGACTCCTCCAATTCAGGCATGCGCATTTCAAACATGCAGCCCACCACGTAAAAATCAAACACATGCACATACACACAGAACTGAACATCTTTGCCTCATGGACTTAAAAGTATGCTTTGTTTTCCTCTATCTGCTATGATTAATACATTGCTAAAGGGTAAGGTAATGTGTATAGACATTAGCACCCATTTAGGATGGATGATAGCTGTTTTCTTCATTTCTCACCATGCTGCATTCAAAACAAGTTTTAATGAGCATCAAAACTGAACAAGTACAAGAGATGCTGACACTTGACGTCTGTTTGGTGACACCAAATTTGAAATGATGAAAAATACAAAGGCCTGGCAGTTTGGAATAAATGTTCTTAAAATTATGTCAGGGAGCAAAGACTAAAACAACTTCAGACATGTTTTGGAATACAACCTTGATCCATTTGTGATGGCAACGTAGTATCAACTCGTTTAATTATTTTTTATTTCATTTTATTTTACTTTAAGTTCTGGGATACAGGTGCCCAACATGCAGGTTTGTTACATAGGTACACATGTGCCACAGTGGTTTGCTGCGCCCGTCATCCTGTCGTCTAGGCTTTAAGCCCCACATGCATTAGGCATTTGTCCTAATTCTCTCTCTCCCCTTGCCCCCTACCCCCAACAGGCCCCAATGTGTGATGTTCCCCTCCCTGTGTCCATGTGTTCTCATCGTTCAACTCCCACTTACGAACTTGTTTAATTATTATTCATTCAGAATTGTAAAAGCACAAGCCATTTCTCACTGAATTAATCTTTACATTAAAGTGAACAGAAGTCTCTTTCTCACAGGATTTCACCAAACTTTGTGGTTTAGTTCTGCTTTTTAAAAGAAAAATAAGGTACATGACTTTAGAGAATGAAATATTTCAAATGTACATTGATATTTAATCTTTAACAAATGTGGAATTTAATAGTATCATGGATATGGAAGGTCAAATACATACTTAAAATGTTACACGAAAATTATTTACTTACGGTGTGTGCATGAGAGGGAGAGCGTGACAGAGACACATACAATGAGGGAGACAGGATCAATGTGATAAACTTGCTATTCAGAAACACATAAGTTCAGACTGAAGGTAAGTAAAGAGTTTGATGAAATTTCAGATTCATCCTATGGACACTGATTGCTTACGACTGTGTTTTAAAAGATTTACAGAACTGGTTAAGAATTCTTCTGGTGAGCCGTATGTTGCAATAGCCAGAGCTCTTCCATACAGATTGAGATTAGGCAGGTTGTTTTGAGTTTCATGGTTTACTGGTAAACCTTAATAACAATGCTGGTTTCGTTTCTGTTTCAATTATGCAAAAGTGAGAACGTGACTCATTAATCCTCTCCAGTCAATAGCAGCCTTGAAGGATTTTTGGTCATTTGTACTGTAAATTATTTTGAATATTGATGCTTAGGGCACCAAATTATTTGCCCCACTGAAGAGTACATGCTGAAAATGTTTGTGAGCTTCAAAGATACTTCATGTAGGTACAAATTCTAAATCTTGACAAAAGTGTTTCATGGATTACCCATTAGATAATAAAAAGTTAGTAATATCTGAGTATACAGAATGTACCAATAACAGATAATGTACAGTTTAATACCTCCCTTCTGATTATTCTGGTGTGTTATCTTAAACGACTTTTTCACTGATGTTCTTGTATAATTTATTTGCTTTTTACATTTTTTTCCTACAAAAACAAGAGACAATTTCCTCTTTTTATAGTAGACAAATGTATTAAGAGCAAACTGAATTACCAGATAGAGAAGTCCTCACCAAATGGTCAGAGTGTATTTGATTTTATGCATGCATGAAAGATAATAATGTGATTTCCAGGCACTAAATATTCCTTAGCTATTCACAATCAGTACTATTATCTGGAATCCAACTAGATTAAACTTACAGAATGGTAAATTACTGAAAATAATGAAGTGAAGGAAAATCATTAATCTTTATCTGCTTGTCTATTTTTTATCACCTCGATGAAATGAAAACATTCATTTGGGGGCCGCTCAGGTTTCAAAGGGTCTAACATTATGAAAAAAAAAACACAGGATCCAAAATGTTTTTTTTCTTTTTTAATTCTACACAGCACCTTTCTTACATGCCTCTGTTTTTCTTTTAGTGGCAGAGCATTTCTATAACACTGGTTGAGAAAGTTCAGATGATTGCTGTAATCCTAGGATCCCTGTTCTTAATAGCCAGTGTGACTTGGCTCCTCTGGTCAGCCTTCAGCCCCTATGCAGTGTGGCAGAGGAAGGACATCCTTTTTCAGATCTGCTATGGAATGTATGGTTTTATGGATCTAGTGTGCATAGGTAAGACCATGATCTTCAACGTTAACACACTGTCAGTAATCCATTTCTTTCAGCAATTACGTTTTCACCATTTGGATCTCATAGAGAATGTTGTGGTTTGAGTTATCTCAGTCCTCCAGTTAATGGATTGCCTGTGGGTCACAATTGGGCTGCTTTTCTAGGAAAGTACAGCATCTATATTCCCATGTAGTTTGAAAAAAAATTAACAGGATAATGCCCATTTAAAGTGAGATGTTTCACAATGAAAAGAAAGGAGGAAGAGTTGAAACTATCTGGAGTGAGTGATATAAGGATAGTCATTTATTTCTAAGGAATAAGGGCAAACCAGTTGCCCTTTACAAAGCTGGGGAAGCACTGGCCCAATGCAAATGGAACTACTGTGTTGTGCGTTTGGGGAGAGAACAGATACCAGGATGTCTTTCATCATGATGCTTATGCAGATTCTCTGAGGGCAGAAAGGGCCCCTTGGAAGGTTAGGGACCTGGGGACAGTTTTCCTTGCTGGCCTGTGTCTCTTTATTTTACGTAATACATTCAGTGGCTTAGAAGAGAAAAAGTATCAAACACTTTAGCTAAAATAAACCCTACAAAAAGGTTACTTCTGTGTTGCATTTGACCCATCTGTTGTTTCCCTAGTACTGGGAGAAAATGGAAGCCAATCATGCAGCCTTTATGTGGAATGTGTGAGGTGCACAAGCGTCGCAATGTTGACCAGCTGTCCAGGGGTAGAGCGGTGTGGGTGGCTGTAGAGGGGCTCCACGTCATTGGGAGCATTTTCCTGCTCTGACGAGGTAGAAATGCACAGGCTCCACCCAGACCCACTGAATTAGAAACTTCGGGGGTGGGGCCCAGCCTTCTTGGTTTTACAGTCCCTCTGAGGTTCTAACGCATACTGAAGCTCGAGGACTGCTGGCTTCAGTGAATGGATGCTAAGCTTGGGATCAAGAGATTTGGTATCTAATCCTGGCCTCTGCTTGGGCAGGTCACCTTCATCCTTCCATACTTCTTTTCTCTCACCTGTAAAAATGCAAAGGATAATTCCAACCATGCAAGTCTAAATAAAGGAAATAATGATTATAAAACAATTACGTTATTAATTGGGAGTTGTAGATTAAGTGTATTTGATTAAATTGGAAGCACTGAATAACTTTGAGATCACTTAAATTTAATATTCTACTTGCTAGAACTTCAATTGGACTAGCAATTTTAATATCTTCAGACATTTTTTCCTAAAAGAACTTTATAAATGTTTAAAACACGATCACCATGATTTATTTTATTTTATTTATTTTTTAAATTTTGTGTGTGTGTGTGTGTGTGTTTTTTTTTTTACTCTTTTCTTTCCTCCTTTCTCACTAGTATAAGTCTAATGGGAGAGAAAATGATAAAATTTCAGGCCAGAAAGAAAAAAATAAAAGAGTGAAATGTTTTGAATAATATATAAACTGAATAGATGTTGCTTGAATAATTGAGCTAATCATGTATGTGAACAATTTGCATGAAATGTGATAATGCATATGAAAGCATTTGGAAGTTCTAAATCTTTATTCAAATACAATCTCTAGGGCATTGCTCTAAGTAAAGAAGAATTCAAATTGATCCTCAGTTTGAATCTCGTAACACATTCAAAGATAGTGTTTGTTCTCTCTTTCAGCATGAATGTTGTAAAATCATGAGGTGTTCCATTGATATTAAAAAGGGAGATGCAAAATAAAAGAGCCAGTTAGCTCCCAGTGCAACCTGGAAGGGAAAAAGTCCAGTTGACCTTCTTGCCATCAATATAAACACTCAAAACAAAACAAAACAAAAAAAGCATTTTCTGGTTAGAAAATGATGTTTTTTAAATTTCACAATTTGCATTTAGTGCTGAGTTATTATATCTTAAATTTTGATTGCTAATGTTAGTATTTTAATCAAGATTATTACAATTCTGGTTTCAAGAGCACAGACATATGAACAAATAATCTTTCAGTAATATATGACAATTTCAAGCTTCTCTTTTGAAATTTGAGCCTTTGCCCATTTTATAAAGTCAAATTTCTTAGAAACAAAAGCAGTTGGTATTTTTCTGGAGATACTTTGAAGAGTGAGAAGTTTATCTGAGTCCTAAATATTAACAGTGTTTTCACTGTGTTTGTTTTAGCTCATCAAATCCTACTTTTATCATTCTGCGATCTATTTGCATATTTTGAAAAATATTAAAGGAATTCAGGTTGAACACTGTTTATTTTACTTGGCAGTTTCACTAATTAGTCTGTTCTGGCCCAGAGAATATCTTAATTTTTTCCCCAAGAAATTAAGAAACTATTATAGTAAAGAAAGCAAAACACTCGTAGGCTACCAATAGCCAATTGGGTTGCAGCCAGTAAGAGCTCCTGCTAATATTTCAAATTAATTCAAATGTCTGCAAATTAAATGCAGACAGTAACAAAGATTACATTGACTGTACCTTAAATACTCCTGACAGGAAGACTTAGAGGCAGAGTTAGTGTGAAAAGCAGGTTTACAACTCTGAGTCCCATTTCCTCAGCTCAGTTTAATAAATATTTCTTGAGAACTTACTATGTGTTGAACAGTGTTAGGTTCTGGGAATACAAATAAGAGTCAATCACTTTTCTTTCCCCAAGGAGCTCATGGGGAGGACAGGCAGGTAAGTAAGTGATTAGAATACAGTAGGATGAAAAAAAAAAAAAAAGAATACAGTAGGATGTGCACAGCTGTGGAAGGCTGAACAGGAAGGGGTAGTTGGACCACCCCAGGAGGGATGAACTCTGTGCTGTTGTGTGTAGGGAGGGAAAGGTTTCAGGCGGGCTTCCTGGGGAAGTGATAGCCAAGCAGGTGAACAGATGAACAGATAGCTCAGCCAATAGAGAGCTGGCCCACTTCTTGCCATGGGAAGATGTGAGATTGGCTTCCCATTCAAAGGGTTATAAATACAATTGTCGACATCCCTCTTTCCTGTCTGTCCAAGCTTTCCAAACTTGATTCTACCTAAGTAGAAAAAACATATTGGCAGCTTCATAAATACTATGTGAAAAAATAATTCTGAAAATCCATAGAAGATTTTTCCAGAATGCAAAAACGTTATCATCCAGCCAGTCTATATAATGCGAAGGAAGAGTTGGATTGTTAAATAGAAGTTACGATTTGGAGAACGTTTATTTACTTGGGGAGATTGATTTACTTATTCCTAGGCACAGTACATTTGTTTGTTGCTTTCATTCATCATGAATACATTTTCTTCTTTCCCCAAAATTAGTTTTCTTTCTTGCTATTAATGTTTTGAGTTCTCTCGAGGGTCCAGCCACTATTATAGTTGAAACATCTAAATCAGGACTGTTTAAAATAACTTTCTACAAGGACAAAAATATTCTGTATCTGTGGCATCCAGTTCCATTGACACTAACTAAATTTGGCTATTGGGCACTTAAGTGTAGCTAGTGAGAATGACAAGTTAATTTCAATTTAATTTAAATAACCACATGTGGCTAGTGACTACTATATTAGACACAGATTCTAGATAGTGGAATGGTAAGTGTGTAAGAGCTTGAATAACAGGTTTCCCTCTGTTTGTATAAATGGGTTGCATTTGCTAAATGATAAAGGAATTCTTTTCCAAGAGAGGTGAATATAGTCAAAATGAATTTGAGAATTAAGAGAAGGGTGCTACAGTGTGCCAAGAGTTAGACGGTGATAAAGGAGAGACATGTTTGACAAATGACTCTTTTTGTTACTAGACTTTTTAAGAATACGTCTCTGGATCCAATGTGAATTTAATTTTCAGTCTGTGCTTATTATAAAATTCACATTTGTTTTAAGGAAATTGGAATGTAAAGAAATTATATTTGAGGAGCACTTCTACATGTTTAAATAGATGGCATGATTGTACACCAGAAAAACTAATAGAAAGGATTTAAGTCACTAAGATGTTGTACACACTGGCAGCAATTTAGAGAGAAGTAACAGCCAAGGAAGCTCCTGTTGGCTCCCCACTAAAAGAGATTTCCACAGTGGACAAAAGAAGATGAGCAAACCCAGAAATGAAAAGCACCTGCCCAACAGAAGGCCTTGGGCAGAGGATTTGCTTCTTCACTCCACCCTGGGCACATTGAGAAAAAAATAGAAGACAATCATTCCATTACCCTTTGATTCAAGGGAAGCTAGCATCACAAGAAGAATATGTTTATTAATGAGTAAAAGTTTGAGGGACCAGAAGAGGGCCATGTGATGACAGGGCTGATTTTATTAACTTGCATCTAAAAAGTGAGGGCAGTCCCTGTTATTTTAGCATCTGATAGGACCAAATGAGGTGAGTTCAAGTTCTTCTTAATAGAAGCAGCAAACCAAAACTCTGTAATCATCAGTGATATTTGCAAAATAGAGATAGTAGTGCTTGTACCAGGTCTAATCAACACTGTAAGTTAACGGCAAATCCAAGTCTGGAAATGTTTTGATCTTCCCTCAAATACTATGGGAAGAAACTAGTTATGTTTACAGCACTTAAAAACATGGATTGCTTTTGACCTTTAAAAAGTTTTCCTAATTGTCCCCACAATATGCACACACAAGTACAATTTGTGTTTATAATTGTGAAATCTATAAAGTTAAAAAAAAAGACCAGTTAACTCACACTCCCAACTCTTCTCTGTTACTTCCTTTGCAGAAATGTCCCCTCTTTGCATTTTGATGTTTATCTTTCGTATTTTTTCATTAGGTTTACATGAGTATCGGTATACGGATACTTCTGCATTTTATTTCTGAGATCATACGGTACATGGTGTTGAGAAAATAGTCTTTTATTACTCAATGATATAATCTAGAGATCTTTGCCTGTTATAACAGATGTACAACAATGTATTTAACCTTATTTCTACTCATGAAGTTTTAGGTCGTTACCAGTTTTTGCCATTAGGGACCATGTTGTAAAGGACATCGGTTTACGTGAATATTTCCGTTAGCACAATTCTGAGAAGTGGGAAGTCTGAGTTAAGTAGTAAGCAT